CATTTATGAACCATAAAAAATTTTTTTCTGTGTTTAATCAGGTTTATTATACATCTAGAGTGTATAAACAACTGTAAGCAAAAATAGGAAAGTCCTACATTTCAAATTGCTACAACAAGACAGATGATCTCTGTGATGGGAAAAAAAAAAGACACATCTAGTAAGTTTTCCTTCTAAATTTCATTTCTAGAAAACCACTCTAGAATTCTTTTATTATACTACACAGAGGCAACCAGCTACTGTTATGAGATAATCTGAAATTACACCATTTGTAATTCCTGTAAAAACAGAATTAATTTTTGCCGTCAGATTAATCAAAGGTTCAGCTATTCTTCACACGTTCTGTAAGACGCAACAACATTACCTACTACTTCTATAGCAAAGGACTGGCCAAGAGACAGCACCCCACTCAGCAGCTTGTGGTGGTCTCTGCAAAGCTTTTCCTTTTTAGGGATTTTGTTAGAATGAGTAAGAGAAATAGATTATTTTTTTTTTTAAATTGCAATGAAACATTTTGAAGGTGAATATAGAATACAGCCATATGAGTAAATTTAAGATAGAAATGCTTTACCATTTTCATGGGTGTTTTTACAGGGCCTTCTATTATTTTTACCAAGGTAGTATGCTAAAACATCAATACGTGATTTTGTTCAACATGGAATATATTGTGATTAAACAGAAAGAAAAGTCACTTTGACACACAGAGCAACTTTACATCTTAAGAAATTATTTGTTTCGACATTGAAAAGTTTGATATACATCTGCTATGTTGCATAACAGTAGCACTACAATGTTATGAGTTTATTAAATCAAGAGAACACGGTACACCAAGCTTACTGTTGGTTATTGTTCGATTTAAATAAATATGTTTCTGACAATCAACTATATACTCATTAGGTATATTTGTGTATAAAAAAGCAGAATATTAGTTGATTTGAAGATAAAGAGGGAGTTAAGGAAGTATTTTAATAAACTATTCTTCAAATTGATATTACGAAACCCATCATACATCTGCTATCCTGAGGTTACAAGTATGAGATAACTTGTTTGTTGTTTTAAGTAAGTAATTTTATCGACATAGTCTACTTACTGTGTTTGCACAGTAGAATTAAATTTAAATTGGAAACTGGATAGACATAGCAGTACTGTCTCTCTTAAATACATAAACAGTGGCCTGCTGAAGAAAATTAATTTCTTCCCAGAGACACCCTCCCTATGCCACTTTGTTAAGTCCTGTGTCCCTGCCTCCTCTTAAAGCAACCAAGTGATTTCAAAAGATTCTGCAAGCACAGAGCCCATCTTCATTCCATAACGTAAGGTGCATGACAAGGCCTGAAATGAAGTATATCTACATCAAATAGACTGCAAGGCAAGCATAAACACAGGCTGATTGCACAAAAGATCCGGCGTAAATTGTTCTTTCTGAATAACGCGGCGTGTGGTACCAGGGCCGCATACAGACAGGTCCTACAGCCTGTTCTGCAGTTGTCCACTAAAAACAGCTGTGCTGCTACCTCCAGCTCCATCCTGCTTCCTGAATCAGCACCCATTATACCTCCACATGATCTAATCAACAGGAGTCAGTCCTCAAGTCCCTCTGCAACCAAAACCGCTTCTTACAACAGGCTCCTTCTACCAGCCCACATTTCTTGCCATAACACGGTTCAGCTTGTTCAGCAGCTTTCATTCTGTAATTTTGACTTCATAAGATTATCTCCCTGTTTTTTGCATTATATCACTACTTGAAGGTATATTGTCAGGCCTCTTGAATACCTCTTTCCTGCAGCACAAACCATGTACCTAGAAGTATCATTTCTATAGGAACTGGGCTTTTTTCATATAGCTAACTACTCTTGCCATCCAGTTCACATTATACTTTCCCCGTTAGTATTAGAGGTAATAACAGCATAGCAATAGTCAAGTAAAAAGTGCTAAATGGAAATAAGGCATATTATTTGCATCTGTTTATCATGCAAACAACAAAAATGTCTGTGGGACAGAGAAGTAAAGCGAGTTAGGAGGGCTTAAGGGAAGAGATAAAACAACTACAAGGGCAATTATAAATTACATTATATTCTGAAGATTCTGGGCTGGTATTCTTTTCTTCCTTTCCTAGTTCATGCTCGCAGACTGTGCCTCCCTCTAATAAATATTTGTGTATGGAAGCATCTGCTGGATAAAATTGTACACAGACACTTGGAGAATGGCTCTGTCATTATATATTTATGTAATATTTACCAGTGCATTCATATCCCAATTGCAGTCTTTATCTGGTACATTATTTTGCTCAGTGTATAATTTGATAGGGTTTACAGAACCTACCTATTTCCACAGCTTCACAATATCCAACCTATGGGTCAAAACCAACTCCAAAATCTATTAGTGGACTTCAATGGCCAAAATAATCCTCACTTCCAAGTTTATATGCCTAATCCATATTTTTGAGAGTGTTTTTTTCAGAAGAAAACTCTTTCTGAACCTCTAGTTGACATAGAATTCTAACACTGCATTTTATACTCTTTATAAATAATCATCATCTTTTTTAGGATAATGATTATTCAAGTGTGACTGAAAAGATTTAAAGGTCATTTGTATTACCTTGTGTTCTTAGTCTATGTTGATTTCTCACATTATGATAAAAACCTTGAGTTGAAAATGTGCATGACATTGTCTCAGTTCTACAGATAACTTAGTTTTATGTTGCTTTGAAATGACTTGCCGCATAATCTCTTTCAACAATATGCAAAACTATGTCAACAAAACAAAGTCAGCAGAAATACTTGACTTCTGCTACTACTACTTCCAAGCAACACCAACACCACTACACGCAGAAATGAACAGAAATATTTGCTAAAATGTCTCCAAGACAACTACTCACCAACTCATCATGACAAACAAAACCCAACTATCTGCAGATCTAACACAAAACAAAGACCCACGCGTACCACAATATCACACATAGACAAAGAGAATGAACCAACTGCAAAAGAACAGCTACCTGTCCCTTCACTACTTATTACAAATCTTAGCTTGGAACTTCTTACCTAGTTCTACCTTAGTCCATTTTCAGCATTACTCTGGAAAAATAAAAATAAAAATAAAAATACCCAAAAAACCCAAACCACCAAAATAAACCCACCCAAAACCAAACAAACCACCACACACAACCCACAACAGTTTCCCAAGCTACTCCTGTCACTATAAATCAATGATCCTTTTTAAACACAGTAACATAGAGCTAAACCAAACATCTCCCAAAAATGCATACACACAAGCATATACCAGATTCTGATGAACTGTACATATGGTCATATGCATATACATGTTTGCATATTTAGAAGAGATGCATACACACACTTACCCTAACACATACATATAACGTAGTCCGAACGTTACCATCTCATATGATCTACTACTAATAGCTTCATGACCATCAAGAGTTTGTGTGTTGTCAATAAAGAGTTCATTACGTTCACTAAGAAAAATCACGTATTATTTATAGATTTATTAGGAAGTGCTACTGGATATATCCCGATACAAAAGCCAAAATATTTGTACCAATAAAATCAAAACTGGACTTAAAATTCTCATTCTCACAACTTCAGATTCTGTACTCCTTCCAGTTTGTAGAGCAAGAGAAAGAACAAGCTTCTTATAAACAAACATAGAAAAGGCATTATCTAGTGATACATACAACAAACAATACTGCGAGATTATTAGATAGTTTTCACATTTTCATAATATCAAGAGAAAAATAGTCAAATTTCATATTCTTATGTATACTTCTGGGTAAGATTTAGAAAGTTCAATATGGAAAAAACAAACCCAATTTGTTTAAATAACTTTGACTACACTCTCACTGTAAGAGGAAATTTCTTTCACTGAAAAATTTTACGTTAATCCCTAATTTTGATTTACTGGGAAAGTATTCCTATCTAATTAGACAGCAAAAGTGAAATGGATAGGTTTAAATTAAATTTTGTTTTTCCAAAAAATATTTATTCACAGTTGCATTTTATAAGAATATCCTACAACTCCCTGAAGTGTTAGGTCTCATCTAGTTAGTATTGTTTCCATTGTTCTATTTTGCTAGCACCAATCTCACAATAAAAGGCACAGCACAAAAAGAAAGAGGAAAAAAAGAGACACAACTTGGACTACATTATATTTAAGAAGTTTCATGACAACCACAGGGCAGGAAAGCTTCAATACAAGAACTGCAAACAAGCAGTTTCTACTTCCTTCCATAAGAGTTTCCTGTAGATATCTTCCATAATGGTCTAACTCAAAGTTGTTTTCTATATTAACATTTTGACATAAACTCCAACTTCGAAGTGACCAGTTAAGTTCTCCAAATGCACCACACTATTTCTACTTACTCCAGATTTTCACTTGAGACACAAAGCCATTTGATTCTGTGATACCCTCTCAGCACTTGTATTTACTATTCAGCAGTTAAAATCCAGTGCACAAAGGAAACAGTCAAGTTATCTGACAATACATTTGTTTTCTCATTAACATGTTGTCAGCATTCACAGATGAGACACAGAACTACTATATCAGTCTCTGATCATGACGAACACTCACTGAGTACAAAAGCAGTAATGCTTCCATGCCTCAGTTTTTCACATTTGTATTTCAAAGCATGAGAATCATTCTTATACTGCATGCTGTTCCACTATGACATATTAACAGAAAACATAGCTAATTATACTTTGCTTTTTCTCCAAAGATTAGTCCAGTAGGAAGAAACAATGTGAGAAAGAAAAGAACAAGAAACCATCTAACACCCTACGTACTATCAAATGTATGCAAATTGCATACTACAAGCACGAACACAAACGCATTCCATTATACTCTGCCTTTCTTTTGCAAGATTAATTCTAAATGTTGAAAGGATTAGATCCTAACCAAACCATCAGGCCAAACATCAAACAGAAAAATTTTATAAATAAAGAATAATTCAGATTAACTTCATAGCTCGTACAGGAAGTACTCACCAAGGTCTGTATTGGGGCCAGCAAGTAGCTGCATAAATTTGTCTAATCGGGATGCTTCTCTTTCAGTTAATGCAGGAGTAACTGAGGTACTGTAGTCTGCCATCCCACTCACCAAGGGAGGTGTGGAAGTTTGTGGAAGGGACTGCGATCTCTGCATGGAAGAATTTTCACTAGCGTTATCTGAAGGGAAAAAGAAGCATAACAGTCAGCCTCAGCGAGTGAGAAGGCTACCAATAACTTGAATTTAATTTGTAAATTTAAAATTGAATTATGTTCTGAAGAAATGTAAGCTCAAGTAAAAAAAAACAAGTTTGTACTTCAAATTACTTGGATTTAGCAGGAGGAGTATTCCTCTTCCAAGCAGCACTCCACAATTTAGAAAAATCAATTAGAGATCATACTAACAGAAAGGTTACTTGATCTCCAAAACCTCTGTGCTACTGAAGGGTGTTTCTATTCCCATCACCATTCTTAAAAAAAAGCCCAGGTAGGAAATCATTGCAATTGATTACTTTAAAGTTTATACATAAAACACAGACCAGATCCCATGGTGATGGGACTTGCCAGTTCACATGTGTGGTTTTCTCCAGTTTTTCTATATACTTTATACAGATAGCATTTTAGTATCAATTTCTCCACAACAGTAAGAATATTATTAATTACATACACCTTGGTGCAGTTAACCATTAAAATACATTCACAAGTACAGCTTTCTTCCAAAACTAAGGATGTATTAAGGCTGAAAACAAATGTTTAACTGTTCTTCCCTCACTCACGTCTTTCTCACACACATGCTTTACAGTTTAGTATGGCACGCAGTATCTCCCTTAAATTAATATTGATTAATAATAATATCCCATGACATTAAGAAAATGTTAGGAAGGGGTTGACGTCTTAAAGGGTAAATATTATATCTCTCCTCACTTTTAATGTCACCTTTATTTTTTAACGTACCTGATGAACTCGATGTATGTCCTTCACTGACTGATTTAACAAGCCTATTATCACCACATGCAATTGAAGTTAGCTCTGCAGGTTCTACTTGTTTTTCTTCCTGAAATTTATGCTGTTCCTGTAACTTGCTATGATTCTGAATGACTTTGTGAGCCGTTTCCATGACCACTTCTGTATTTAGGTTTTCAGCAGCTATTGCTAAGAGTTCATCATCATCATCACCCAGATCCCAAGCATCACTTGTGTTACTTTCAAATTCTTGGAAGGTGCTGACTTTCTTTAATTTCACTGGAGTTGTAGGTGGCTTTGAACCTGGTTTTATCAAGCTGTTAAAAAAAAATAAACAATATTTAGACAACCAGTAATGGAGCAAGCAAAACACTATGGATAGATCAAAAAAAACCCAAAAGTCCATGCTTGACATTATATAGGTATCAGATATTTATCTTCTTCCATTGTAACATACAGCTGAATATGTCTGAGAACAAGGGCAGGTAAAAGCTGACTCTTCCTGGCTTTGAACAGAAACTGAGCAAATCTTTCCATTCCTTGCATTAAAAAAAAAAGAAGAAGAAACCAATGCTAAAGTAAAATAAAATGAATACTACTGCAGTAGTTTGTAAGATAGACAGGATACATTGCAGTTCTCTTGCTTCATTAAATTCTGTAGAGATTTCAGGCCTTTCAGTGCAATTGCTGTATAACCACATAGGAGCAGTAATCAAGTCATCAGGTCTACTCCTAACTCATCATAAGCAATTATGCAACACAATCACCATCATAAACAAATCAAGTCTCACCTTCAAACTCATTAGATCTATGATTCTTCCCCATTCAGGCACTGCAGCACAAGTTTGCTTCAGAACTTTGCTCTTCTTATAGCCAAGATATTTCTTTATTTACTAGTTTAAGTGTACCCCTATCAGCTCCTAACCTTTTGTGCCTCTGTCCACACACAGTACAAGAGAGAAGAACCAAGTATCCATCCCTTGCTTGGCACTTGTTCTCACTTACAGTAATGCAGAGCAATAACATCTCCCTTCAGATTTCAGCTAAATAAGGCATTAAGTTCAGACAGTTTCTCACTCTGCTCTCAAAAAAGAAAAAGTTAACAGCAGTAACTTAATTGCCCTTTCTGACCATCCCTGGTATTCTGGCTTTCTACGCGTGCTTGTTTAACTTCTTTTGTGTTAAGACAGGGCAGCCAGATCTGGAAATCAGAAAAGGTTCTCACACCAGTCTTCATAAAATGTCATTATATTGAATCTCTTTCCTAACAGGTGTTACAACTCTAAAACTTACAACCAACTTGTCACCATAGTCTAAAACAGCAAGGTCTTTCACCTCTTCTGCCATCACTTCAAACAACAAGCTTCTAGTTTTTGTTACTGGGGCTCTCTTTATAACTCTACATTTTGAACCAATTCATCCTATTCTGTTTCCTTCAGTCCTCAAGGTCACACATTTCAACCGTCTTCAACTCTACCATCTGAAAATTAACTTGCACGTGTTTACTTCTTGTGCCATTTCAAACCTGCCTTTGAAGAAATCCACCAGAAGTATGACCTCCTTCCAAGCCAAGACTTTTCCTTCTAACGTTATTTTTCATCCCTACTACTTTGGGCCATTCATTTCATTGGTCATAAAAATTTTCCCAAAATTCTAACATACACCAATGTTTTAACAGCAATACTGGTTTCAGAGCAGCTGTGAAATCTACCAACAAACCAGAAACAACTTTGTCCTTGGCAAAGCTTAAAACAAACTGTTTCTAAAAAAAAAAAAAAAAAAAAAAAAAAATTTTTTAAAAAAAAAAAAAAAAAAAAAAAGACAATAAAGCAAAATATAAAAAGCAGACGCTGTCAGAATGCAGCATTTTGCTAAACACCTCAGTCATACAGAGATGAGAATCATTCATTTGCACCAGTTGTGGGCTATCAGAATGACACTTCTTTGGCTATTAACGATGTTTAACATTATATTGCCACTTTCACATACATTGTTTCCTGATACCAAATAACCATGGTCTAAGGCAATAAACTCTCATATCACTGCAAAATCTATTCTACCATCTTCTTCTCACTCACAAGCAAAATACTCACCTTTGCCTCAAAATTATCTACACCACAACCCGACTCTTTTCTTTTATAGACAGACAAACAGAGGCAGCCCATCAACAGAAAGATGCATGCACAAAATTCACTTACACCTGAGCTGTAAGCTTCATCTACTAATTTCAGATCAGTATTTACCATACAATTTCCAATTTATAAGGCACTGCAAACAGATAATAAAAGTTGGCAATCTGTGTTAGTTAAGAACTGAATAGCTGATTTATTGCTCCCGATATGGTAAGCACCAGGAAATTGAACAGAAGAAGTTAGAACAGAGAAGTCAAGATTATGACAAAAACTGAAAAAGGAAGACAAGCTTTATAGCCAACAAGGAGAAAAAAATGAGAGTAGGCAGAGGAGATCCAAATTACCTGGAATATTTAAATATGAAGTTAACTTACGTTCCATGCAATAATGGATCGAAAGGCGGATGCTGAGCTCCATATACGTGTTGAATACTAAAGGAAAAGAAAGAGACTTATCACAAAAATAATAAAACATTTGGGGGGTTTCTGTGTATTGAAATAAATAGTCAATAACAAACAGAACTGTTCCAACGGTTTTCCATTTCAAAAAAATCCCACAAACCACTAAAAATAATGAGACTGAAATTGAAGTGTATACTAAGAAGCAGCTTAATCAAAATCATAGATCTGCTATAGAGGAGCCGTTTTTTAGGCCAAAGCTAACTTTGGATGACTTATTTTTCTGACCAGGAATTAAAACAAGGAAAAAACTCCACAGTAAGAATCTACCCTGCTTTTAAATTATCTCCTTTCTGATTTATCATTTCTTCATTTACCTCTTGAAAAAAAAAATTCTCAAGGAAACATCCACAAAGCCTGAATCTTCCAGGCACCTTTGCCACCCAAAATCCAACCAGTCAACTCTTAACCATTACTAAAGCACTGAACTGATAAATTTAAACAAGAATGCAAAGGATGATAGAGAATAAAAGTCATGGAAATAGTAAAAACAGATGCTTTGAAATACATAAGCTTCCAAAGACAGATTTATTCACTATAATCTCTAACATAACAATACAGCATGTCACTGTGTCGCTAATAAAACTCTAATAATACAGAGGCAGCATTAACAGTAGTGAAATCAGCCCTGAAGAATCTATTGATTTTATGTGATTCCACACAAATCAAGAAGTCAGTCCACCATCACGACCGTATGCCATACACTCCACCGTCACATCTCTGTGCTCTCCTGCTCCACATTCATGAGGATCAGATGTCACTTCAGCATACTGACAGAAATCTGCCTTTTCCTTCAGACATTCTGTAAATGATTACAATGGGAACCCATCAAAATATACAGCAACAACAATCCTCTCCACACTATCAAAAATAAAATAAAAAATCAAAAGCACATTCTCCACACTGTCCTTGTTTTCTCACATGCCTGCAGCTGCCTGCAAATTAATTAACTGTAACTACTTATACACCCCGTGTAACAAGGAAGGTCAAAATGTTTTACCCTCAACGGACCTAGCAAAGTTACAAAATAAGAAGTTCAGAGAAGCAAGAACACTTGGACTCAAAAGAGTTAGTTTACAACTAGAGAAACAAAACCACTACCAGTTAGTGCTTATGGGTAACCAAGAACAGAAGCAGTTAAATGATGAGCAGGATTGTTTTGCTGAATTCAGGTAAATGGTATAAAGCACAGAGTTACTGTTCTCTAAGATCTAAAAATACACATCATTCTTACAAAAAGAACATAAGAAACTGAATTACTCTACTGTAAAAACAGTTTAGAGATGGGAGCAGTGAATGTTATTGTTAAGTAACCACCCAAAAACATTCCCGGACTGACATAACAGTCAAAAGAGTTAATGAGACTTTGGGGATGTATTCCCTGGAAAATTTTGAGTGAGAGAATGTGTTTGTAGCTCTTTGCAACATTACAACAACTGGGTCTGCTGTTCACACTTCAGGAAAAAAGTTGAGAAATTGATGATATTTTGAAATGTCAAGCAGAAAACAGAATACGATTCCATCACTATAAAGTGTAGCTTCCTGCATAGTATTTCAAAATATCGCAACTCACATCACTGCTAAGACCTACAAGTATATTCCCCTCTTCAAAGTTTTCCAGGGAATACATCCCCAAAATCACGTGAACTCTTTTGACCACGGCATCAGGCTCGGAAAGCACGTTCAGGTAATTACTTCACAACTTTTCTGGTACAAGTTATAACTAAGGGCTTACTGAGGCCACCAGCGATCTTCGATCAGCTACCTGGAGACGCCTGACACTGAAACGCTCCGGGCGCTGAGCTGACAGGAGAGAGCCGAGGGAGGGGCGGAGAGGCCCGCACCAGCCTCCCAGCTGCGAGCAGTGACGGATCGGACGCGCTCGCTGCGGAGGGCACGGAACCGGCCGGGATCCCCTGAACCCCTGCGGCTGGGGAGGCAGCGAAGCGGAACCGGCCCGAAGGCAGCAGTACTGGGCAGAACTGTTCCCTGCACCACCGGGCTGGA